ATATTGTCACGTTAAGCGTGTCTTTATTAAAGAATTGTCACGATTTACGTGTTTTTAATAATTAGGGACCAGCTTTGTCCCAAGGGGTTAGACGATAAGGGTCTAAATAGTGTAAGCACTAAATTACTATGACTTGACTTCGTAGCCCTTAATTGTACAAGGGTTCTACTTTTGATATAAGACCTAACACGTCTCTGTAAAAGGGCTGAAGGAAACACAGTGTTCTCAAAACAAATATAATATTATAAATAAAATAATTGTACAAAATAGGTCCTAACTAGACATATACAAATATGGGGCTCAATATAATATTAAAAGACAATAAAGTTTTAACTTCGTTAATATTCGGAGCTCATCCTTGATTAGTACCGTGATTTAAAATACAAAAAAAGGCTCTAAGCCCTCGAAAACAAGATGCGGCCTAGCCACGCGGAGAATGCCGTATCTGACCTCAAATTACCTATAATAAGTTCTTTTGTTAGTTTATTATTATTTTATTTATTTATTTAATAATTATTCAATAATCAGCCTTGTACATGATTGCAACTTAAAACAAGTTCACGACATAATTAAACAATATTTCATGTACAGGATGTTATTTAAATAATTAATTCGAATTTGGACAAATTCCTCCAAAAATCGTCGAAAATATTTGGGAGAATAAAAAAGTTATTTAGTCGTATTTGTTAGATATATCAATAACACCGGTAGACACGATTTTTGGGTCTGACTTCTGCATGTGAAATGTTGATTTCTCTTATGTTACAAAATTTTTTTTCTGATTAAAGTTTGCTTTTGTAGAAACTAAAGAAATTTTTTGTTTTTTTAAGAAAAATTAATGATTTTTATATTTATTTTATAATTTTACTTTTAATTAAGATTAACAAAGTTTTTGCCGAACATTAAAGTCTTTTTAATTCAAGAATTGTAATAAACAATAGCATAGAAATGTAAAATAAGAAAAAATCAAGTTCAGAAATGGATATTTTTAATGGTCGTCTTATGTTTGTGTGGGCTTTCTCGTATTTTACCCAAAATGTAATCGTCCATCATATTCTCGTTGTACTGCTCTTGATAATATTGTTCAAAGTCCATCACATCTTGGTAAAAACGTTTTCCTTGTTCCTCTGAGTAGGCACTCATATTGTCTTTAAATTGATCTAGGTGAGAATGTAGTATATGCAGTTTATAAAACATTCTGCGGTCCATAATTTTAAATATTTTAGATATAGTTTCAATCGACTATTTATAATTGTCAGCTATGTTTTTACAATTAACTACTAGTTTAAGACTCGCCCAGGCTTGTTTTTCATGGAGAAATTCTGTGAAATTATCACTACTCATTATTTGTTTTATTTGTGGTTTGACGAAAATACCCGCTTTTACTTTAGCTTTAGATAATTTTTAAATATTTCAAAGCTTCAGAATGTGGATCCAAAGCTTTTACAAATTGCTTCATTAGGTCTAATGCTATATTTAACGGTGGCATTAAAACTTTTTCAGGCTCTACAATTGGTTCAGACTCGACTTTATGTTTTCGTACCTGAAATTTGACTCGATCAGGCCATATACGCCTTTGGTATTGTAATGAATCTGTTCTGCTATCCATAAGTAAAGGTCATAAGGATATTTAGTATACCCACCTTGCATTCCCATCAGAAAACCAACTATTTTAAAATCGCCCATTACTGGCCAATTGTATTCTGTAAATTTTAACTTTTCCAGTATCATTTACACATTATTCTAACTTTCCTTAAGCGTTGCAGAATGTGCTACGGGAAGACTAGGGAATTGGTTTCCATTGAGAAGGAGAGCTATCGATAAAAAGCTAGCTGTCAGAAGGTTGCATGGTATTCCGATTTCCTTGAATAAATCAGTCACGCTATTATAGTAACAAATTCCGGCTTTTTTGGTGAAAAAACAGGAAAACATTTTATGGCGCTTTCTTTGATCGGGTATTTTCTCATCGTATTAAAGCAAATTCCACTGTTTTAATCGTGAACGTAAAATATTTGCTTTATTCTCAGGTAAGTTCAAATTTACTAAATCATTGAAATTCTGTTGAACTGATGAAATATGGTCAAAAACTCTGCGGTGTATTCACTACCATTAGTGTTAGTGTAAGTGGCGTATTGAATTCTGTTGAACTTTGCGACTATTGAATTTCTAATTTACCTAATACTGAACAAGATGGGACTGGAAAATTTTTACTATGAGGTATTGGAGAAGGCGTTGAAGGAAGATCGGGATAATAAATCTTTTTAGCATTTTCTCCAGCTCGGCGCTTACTTGAATTAACAATACAAAAATAATAGTCTTGTACATGATCACTTGGTTCCCTCCAAAGTCTTGCAAATTTCAGGCAAACTGAGGTGCCCATTTTATATCTTGATTCCAGATTTTGAGGTTAAATTACGCAATAACAAAAACCATAATAACTTATGGAGCGGTTGTTTGGTGGCCAAAAGTAAACCAGGAAACCGATCTTACTACTCTCTAAGAAGTTCAGAGGATGACATCCTCTCTAAAAATCAATCTAAACCTCCCACCCATTGGTCTAGTCATAAAGGGGAGGCCAGAATGCATACAGACTGAACATCTCCAACAACTGGGACATATGAAATATAGCAGAATAATACATAAAGTAACTCATCCTATAATAAATATGGGATTGGATCACGTGACACCCCGCCTAACATTCAACAGACCCTTCCAGGTCAAATGGATTGAGGTAAATATAAAGGTAGAGAAATACTTCCTTAGCGGTCTCGTATGATATACGGATAGATCTAATACTAACAAGGGACAAAATCTGGCATACTTGGCGTTAAACCCAATATTGACATCATCATCTCACTGAAAAAATATACAACTGTATTTTAGCCTGAAATACATGCAATCGAATTGTGGGTACAAGAGAATTTAAGAAGGAAGTACAAAAACGAACCATCTTAATTTTCTCATGTAGCCAAGCTACCTTAAAGGCTCTTGATTCAAACAGAATCAAGTCAAAGCTTGTCTGGAACTGCCTTGGCATACTTAATGATCTGGTAACCCACAATAGGGTAAAACTAGCGTAGGTACCAGAACACAACGGTATCCAAGGAAATCAATAGGCTCATGAACTCGACCAAAGAGGGATCCAAATTACTATTCACTTAACCCGAACTTGTATTTGGGATGAGCAAATCCTCTACTCGACAGGTAGTGAACAGGTGGATAACCACAAAATACCAAATTTACTGGCAACAGATGAGGGCACAGAATCAGTAAGCTCATGCTAAGGGGAACAAACCCACGCATGGCTACTGTGGCATTACAACTTGCAAGGCCTCACATATCCACTTGTGGGATTACTAACAAGGCACTTCTTGCTGAAATACCTTCATGTGATGGGATTACACGGTTCCACTACGTATAGATTCTGCATGGAAGAGTAAGAAACCACATACCATGTGATCTTTGAATGCCAAGCTCTTTCTAGGAGACGTCTTATTCTTTTCGACCTAAAAATGGAAAGAACGTCCCAGGAACACTTGGTATGGAAACTTATTCAAACTAACCAAAAACACAGGACTATTTCAAAGATAGTACCTGATCGTGGGAAAAGCAGGGGAATAAAATAGATCCAAGAGGCCGCAGTGTTCTGGGCCAAACCTTACCCTGTCTGCTTGTAACCGACAAAGATAAAGATGCCTCTCTCTAATAATGTGTGGATTGAAGCAGTTCCAATAAGGGCAGTTGTGATTTTTAAATATTCCATTTAATTAAAAAATGCATTCTTCACTGTAACAGATATTTTTTTATTAACATGGACTGATTAATAATCCTATCGGTCATAATTTGGAACACTCAATGCGTCTGACCTGGTCATCATCCCCTAATTCTTGAGTGATTAGCAGTTTGTACGGATGAAATTTGTGAAGCTTCAATAATTGCCTGACTGACTCAGTTTGTTGTGCCACTTTACGAAAGGTCGTAGTGGGAGTCATAGCAACATGACCAAGGACCTCAATCTGAGCGGCCTTATTGAGCAGTGTTAGCCTATCCCTTTTCTTATTGCAAACAGATCCTGTTTCTTTAAATTTAGCTATTAATTCATGGATGTACTACTTGTGTCCAACATTTATTTCCGGATATCTTTTGTTAAATATGGCCGCTGTTATTGCAGAGCAACGATTTTGGGCTACGTAAATAAAAATCATTTCTACGCGTTCAACAATAGTGTAAACCATTTTATGAAATGGTTACAACTTGAAAAATGTCAATTAAAAACTATTGAAATTGTTTATATTTAATGTAAATAAGTTTCACAGCTCATTTCTCTAATCGAAGAAGCACAGAAAATAAACAAAATGAACACCAAGAGTCAGAAAATAAAGAGCTCTACTTATCACTTGTAAATAATATCAGTACTAAGCAAAACGAGAATCTTCTTTGTCCGAAGACACACAAAAAAGTTAAATTATTTCATGTTTTGTAGTGGATAAATGTAAATAATTAAAAGAATTTTGAAATGTAGTATTAGTAGGAACAATAATTTTTAAATGGAGTGCTGTGAGGCTCAGAATGCAACCCGTTTTAAAAAATTGCGTAATTTAAATTTATATATTAAATACATTCCACATATTTGTGAGGTTGCGGGTACTTTTATTTTAACAAAAAAATAACAATGCAATATATCTATAATTACAAAAATGGTAAAATAAATAGGGGTTGCCATTTAAAATGGCTCATATAAAGTGCTATGATTTTTGAACCCAAATTATCCCTGGAATAAAGTAAACAACAAAATTTTATTTGCATTTGGTATAGTATAAATAAAACTGGACAATAATATATATGTAAAAACAAAAACATATGAGTTCATTAAACCTAAAACCAAGATATACAAAACTTTACCAATATATAAATTTTGTCGCCGCACCATGTGTTGTGTCCAGGTTGTGCCTATACAGATTTGTAGTTCCTTGTTCCTACCAATTGGCATAAGCCTAAATATGCCTCTATCTTCCGGTAAGTCACACGATCTCCTTTAATCTTGTTTTTTGGAGCAATTGATTCTGGCCGACCTTCACGAAATTCATCACTAGTCTTTGCAGATGGTACATCATTAAAAAAAAATTGAACAAAGAGACTCGAGGTACTTTTGTTGACTTTTTTTTCATTGCCATTACGAACACTAACATGTAATATTTCAATTTCTAAACAAAATTGTTCTTTTTTGATTTAATGCTATTGTAAACAAACTACTCGGCTGATTAATAAGCTCTTACTGTGTTACCAATTATTAACTGGCATCTTAAAAAAAGTTTAAACGGGTAAGATCATTTTAAAAGAAATTTGATTTCAAACACCATGTTCGACATCATTATAGTTAATCGCAAAAATCAACCATTCAGTGACACAGCATTAACATTTCTTAGCCAATGCATTAAATATTATTAATGTCTACAACAACTAAACCTCAATTCATTTTCTATATTTTTTTATATCTCATATATTACTTGTCTCCCATTCATATGCATTGATCAATCTTCCGTTTTGTTTATAGAAATATCCTTTCATGTCAGATTATATTCTTCGTCACGGACATGCAATAGTTCAACCCATTTATCCTTATTTAAAAATTTATCATGAACATGTCGCTATTTATACAAAATAGAATGACAAAACTAATGTTATAGCATTATGAAATAGTAAAAGACAAATAGTTGCCTTATTCATAAAAATGTAACGGAATTGGATTAGAATAACGTCTATATATTACAGGGTGGCCGAAAATTATTAGCAAATATTTTAGATGTGATTCTACACAAAACTTATATAAATATAGGTCGACAAATCGATTTTATGAGAAACATAGTACCTTATTCTCGAAAAAAAAAAAATAGAATAGCTTAAAATAAGACTAGAGAAATCGTATTAAAAATGAAGTATTTTTAAAACTATGCACCCAGCCCTTACTAATAAAAAGGTGAACAGTTCTGCTGAATTTCATCTTTTAATTTCTATTTGAATTGTAGGAATGTTTTAAATAATATTTAAATTTACATCCGCAATATAAGACCCTGTATATATTTGCGGCCAATGTTGAAATTTGGTGAAGTGCTTTTTGACTTAATGTTTACGCCCAATCACTGTAAATTAATACTTTTATTTTATTGTAGTTTAAGCTATTCTGGTTTTTACGAGAATAAAGTAATATGTTCTTTCTAAGGGAGCTGGCCCAGTTTAATAAACCTCAGAAATAATTTTTTAAATTTTTTAGGAATTTTAGAATTTAACGTAATATTTTCAGTGCACCGATAAAATTATTTATTTGTATCAAAAAATAAAATTTTTCTACACCTACATGGATATTAGCTTATCTACGCATAGACTAAAAACGAAAAAGTATACTATTGCCATTAACTGAACGAATATATTTTATATCCATTTGATGTAGTGAGAACACTGCAAAAAAATATAATCCACCAATCACAGTTAATATTTTGGTCACCCGCCGACTATTATTTTTAAAATTTTAAATAAGTGACACTTGTCAAACTAATTGTCAGTATATTTTTTAGTAATTGAACTTAAATATACATTGAAATGACTTATTTTTGTATAGAATCAATAAATAATAACATATTTATTTTTAGTTATACTATAATTATAAATAATTTGTTAATTTTAATAAAACTCTATGAAGTCAATTCAATTATAAGTAATAAAAAAAAATTCCTAAATATGCCCGTGGATAAGTGGTGAGAGTATCTGACTTCCACGCGAGAAACTCAAGATCGAGCCTCGGCTGGGGACTTTTAAATATTTTTTTTTAATTTATTTTATTTTAAAAATGATTAAAAGTCATAAATTATTTTAAAATTAGTTATTGTGTCTTAATAACCTAAAATATTTTTTTTATTTGTAAATTTTCGTTAGAGGTTCGTAGAAAAATATACTGTACAACTCGAGTGGATTGTCAACATCGCACATCGTCTTCGTACGATATGGCCATTATATCCACTCTTGTTGCACAAACTACTATTAACTCAAATAAATATTTGTCTCCTATGCTTCTAATTAATATCGATTTTATAAATAATAAGGAATTCTTTGCCATATAAATCCTTAATTAAATTCAATAATTATTCTATTATAATTAACTACTAGTCAAATTCAAATATATATTTATCTTAATCACTAACTTTAAAATCAAAACAAGTAATTTTCCCTTTGAATGTTATATAATTAAATAGTTTAACCTTATTCACGTTGTAGAAAAATCACACAAATATTTATTTTCTCAAATCCTGTCAAGTGTAAAATTCAAAGACCTATTTTTTTGCTTTACAGTATATGCGACAAGTTTGAAATAACAAGTTAGAATTAGATGCGCACTGGCAAATCTAAAAATGGAAGTAGTTATCTCAGTTAACACAAGTGAACACAAATAGATCACTAAAATAATAGCATCGAAGTTCGGCTATTAACTGAGATAAATCCTTCCATTTTTAGATTTGCCATTATGCATCTAATTCTGACTTGCCATCTCAGGCGCAGATTAGGTCTAGTCATATTTGTTTTCTGCAGTGTTGTCAGGATAACTTAAAAGCCTTCTGTTCCATCCCATCTTTCCTTGAAATTCACAAGAGAATGATCTTTAATTAGTTGTATCACTACCGAATTTGTCAAACCAATAGAAGGGTCAGCTGAACTCCATATTACTGCATAAATAAAAATCACTGTAACATCTCGCATTCACCTGTGATCGTACGCATTCAAGTTAGAGGTGTCGATATCATTACTGGTTACTTTTCACCGGTAATTTGAAAATCACCGGCGCTACCGGTGATTGAGTTTTATTGTTGACAGGAACAAGTTTTATTTTAATATTACAAATTCAAATTTGAAAAACATATGAAATCGAATCATACTAATCTGTGTTTTTGGAAGAAAAATCACTGTCACAAAAAATTTGAGGCAACTAACACTATTTATTTTTTAGGAACAAAAGATATATTAAAAATGTTCATTTAAATCACAAAATATCTACATAAATATCAACATTTTTTTTAATAATTTGGCAAATTACTATAAGGAAAACATGAAAACAAAAAAAGTGCTTTCATTTATATTGTTCTCTTATGACAACAATAAATAAATTAACAATTAATATATTATAATATCTCTAGTATTTTTCATCGATATGCACACTTTCGATTTCTGAACCGCATTCATAGTCAATGGAAATTTATTGATATTACAGTATCATAAAATAATACATATTATATCGTAAAATCACCGATCATTGCTAAGAATCGCCGTAATTTTCAAATCACTGTCACCGGTATCCAGGTGAAACTAAAAATAAGGTATCGAATACCTATCTCTAATTCAAGTACCAAATCAGACTAGTTTTAACAAGAAACCACCCAGCGAGAGTCTACAATGAAATGTAAATACGCTTCCTTTGGCTGAACCAAAGTCTCTTTGACAATAAATAATTATTGGATTCAAACAAATGCGATGCTTGTTTCATTATTTCAAATAAACGATTTAATTTCAACAATATTTTAGTCTTCATTCAAACAAATAATAAAATGGGTTTAAAAAAATGTTTTTTATTGTCTGCCAAATGCAACATTTGTTTTATGGAAACACATTTATTTAAGTGTAATAAATTTAATGCTTGAAATAAATAATTGTGAACATGAATTTGAAACAAATTAAAATGTATATTCAAACAACTCAAATTTCTTCACATAAGAATGGTGACCTAAATTAAACAAAATGTGTTTAATATAAACAAACATATTTCAAACAAATCCATTAATTTAATTTAAAAAAACCTTTTTCAGAATGTACCTACCTAAATAATAAATAATAATTTAATACCTACTAATTAAATTATTTGACTGTGAAAAGAGAAGTATTTAACTTAATCCTAAATTTGTTTATTATGTTATTTATATTATTCGTTTCAAATAAATTTTCATTTGGTATTAATATTTTGATTATTTTTTACTTTAAAGACTGCGAAATTTAACTGAAATTTCAAGTAAATTTACAAAAAAAAACAGGTATTTTAAATAAATAAATTTCTGTTAATTTGACTAATTTTAATTTAATAACAATAAATTGGATGTGGATATTCATTGAAAATCTTCTTCATTGACAATAATTTGTCGACCTATGTTCATAATAAAGTTTAATTTCAATTTTTTGTAGTATAAAATCACCTCTAAAATATTTGCTCATAAATCCTTTTTTTTAACTGTACCAGCTCTCTACTTCGTGCATAATGGTTTGTTCAATATTATATCTGAAATTAAAGGATAGATCAAGTCATAACAGTAGCAAATAAAATATTTGTTGCATATGATGTATTTTAAACACATACTTAAAAAAATACAAATATACCTGATTCATTGTAATAAAACATACACCATCATAAAGTAAAATATTTATGTAATCATCACTTTTTTTGTTACCTTGCGACCTTAACATTTTCATATCTACTTTGATTATAAGTTTTATCACTTTGTCCAGTTTGATATTTTCTAATATTTTCCATAAATTAGGAGGTGTGTAGCTACTTGTTTGGTTTTTCTTCTCAAATTGTGAAAAATCTTATTCTTTACAGACATTCCCAGTAGTATAAAAAGCGTACTGCCTATTTTCGGCAGAACTGCCACAAGGCCGCTTCTGCCAGATCGATGTTGTACATTTAGTTTATCAATAATTCTACATTGTCCTTTCATAGTCCTACCATTACTGTATAAAGATGCGTATTAATATGGTTAGCCGAGCCTGAGCGGATCTTGGGTTGCACTTTGATCAACGACCCTCCTACAATTTTGTCTAATCCGCATATTTTACAAGTTTTACCTGCAACGAGCTAAAATGGAGAAAAACATGTGTAAACGCACCGTGAAATTTACAAAATCGGAATAAAATATGTTAATAGTTTTAACTCAAAAATATTCCATTATCATTAAAAATAAAAAGACTGACAGTTTAATGAA